GCGGAGTTCCTTTTACAGACTATAACTAAGGAACAGGAGTGTGCCAAAACCAAATAGGATTATCTGTTAATAGTTTTTTTTTAATTTATTGATGTTAATTAATACACAGTAAAATATATAGATCTTAAATATACAGTTATATAGATCTTAAATATACAGTGTGAACAGTTTTGAAAACTATGCACATTAGAGAAACTCACATCCATATCAAGATATAGATTATTTCCATACTCTAGAAAGTTTGTTCTTTCATAGTCCTTCCCAGTAAATTCTTTCTCTTTCTCTCTAGAGGAAACCACAGTTCTGATTTCTATCACCAAGGATTTGTTTGTTTGTTTTTGTTTTTTGAGAGGCTTTTGCTATAGGGCACGTGCCCTCGCCAGACAGAGAGAGACATAGAGACAGAAAGCGAGAAATCACCCCCCAGGGGGGATGGTCACGCCGCCATTCCTTCTCCTCCATTCTCCTCTTGGGATCTTGGGCACGCTTGCACACGCACCCAGCGTGAGTTTTAAGTCACCGGGTCCAGGACGCGAACCGTGGTCGACTACATGGGAATCCAGCAACATAGTCATTACGCTAACTGCTGGTTCCCGCTATCACCAAGGATTTGTTTTCACCTGTTTTGGAACTTCACATAAATGCAATCATCCAATATGCATTCCTTGGCCTGTCTTTTTCTCATAATAACATTTTTGAGATTCTTCCATATTGTTGGACATATTTGTAGTTTATTCTTTAATTCCTTTCTTTTTCTTTTATACATTTAATCACTGCGTATCATTACAGCAAACCAAACGAATTTTCCCATCATGAATACACTGCATGTTGGTCCAGTCAAAGACATTACCATAATCAGCAGATGTCTTTCCATTTCAGGTCCCTTAAATGCTTTGCTTCTTTCTTCTTCCCCTTGATTCCCTCCCTTCAACCCTCCCTTGTTTCTCACCTTCCTTCCCCACTGTCTCTCAAAGTGTCATACATCATGGTATGACGATGTCACAATTTATTTATTTATTCTATTGTTGGTGGACATCTGTGTTGTTCCCTTTTCCCTCATGCTATTAACATTCTTATACAAATCTTTGTGGACATGATTTTTTAAAAAAAATTATCTTAGATACATAATCAAGAAGTGAAAATCTGCATCATGGAGCAGGTGTATGACAAATTGCCAAACTAGTTTCCAAAATGGCATTAATATTTTGCTCAACCACCATCAACGTATGAGAGTTCCAGGCATTCAACATCCTCAAAAATGTTTGTTGAGATTGTTCTTTTTAAAAAAGAAAAAGAAACCATTTATTTATATATTTATGTATTTATTTGTTGTGATTTTCAAGCCACCTGATTCAGGACTCTAACTGCCATAAACCACCATGCCATCTGCTGGCCCCACTTTTTTATAACTGTATGGTTTGAAGTGGTTTGCATAGAAAAATACATCATGAATTTTGTGATGACCCAATATTTTGAGAGCAATTTTCAATTATATAGTATGTTTATGCCATTATAAATTAAAATGGTTTATGTATATTCACTTTGTATATTGTGACAATACTAAATTCACATATTAGCTCAAATATTATTTTTCTTTTTTATAATTTACTTGGAATTTTCTCCATATTTGACAATAATATCCATGAAAAGGGATAGTTTTATAAATATTTGAGAAACTTACCAAAGAAACATCTGGCTATGAAGCTTTCTTTGTGGGAAGGTTTTATCAGTTAATTAATTATCCTTATTAGATACAGGATTGATGATATATTCTCTTTTTCTTGGATGTATTTGGATAATGTGCATTTTAAATGATTTTTCTATTTCATGCATTTTGTTTAATTTATTGGCATAAGGTACCAGCAACTGGCACAATGATTACATTACTGGACACTCATATAGTCAACCACAGTTCAAATCCCACTCCCAGGGGCTTAAACTCACACTGGGTGCATGTGTGTGCATGCCCAAAATCCCAAGAGGAGAATGGAGGAGAGGGGATTGTGGTGTGGCCATCCCCCTGGGTGGGTGATTTCTCACTTTCTGTCTTCTCTCTGTGTGTCTTTGGTGAGCACATGAGCCCTATAGCAAAAATATGTCTCAAAAAAATATATTGGCATAATATTTCTGTATTGTTTTTGTCTGTATGATTTGTAGTAATGTCTCATCTTTTATTTCTGGTATTGGTAATTTGTGTTTCTGTTTCTTCTTGATCAAACTTGCTAGAAATTTTATTTGTTGTTTCAAAGAAAAATCTATTAAATTAATTTCCTTTGATATATTTATTATTTTCTTGATTCTGTTTACTTTTTTCTTAATTTGCTATAGGGACTTTGTTCACTGGAAAGATACAGAAAGGGAGAGAGAGAGAGAGAAAGTGAGAAAGTACTAGGATGATCATGCTACAGTCTCTTCTCCTTCACTCTCCTCTTGGGATTTTGGGCACATATACACATGCACCTTGTATTTTTTTCAAGAGTCAAGTCAGGGACTCAAAGTATGCATCATCCATGTGGAATCCACTTGTCTTAACCACCATGGTGCCTGGTTAGCCCAACTTCTGTTTAATTTTTAGTTGAATTCTTTCTTCTTTTTCTAAATTTTGAAGTTGAAAAACTAGATCTTTGATTTAAAATATTTTCCCTTTTTTAATATAAGCAATTAAAGTTATAAAGACACATATATTTCATAGTTTTTATAGTGTTATAATTACTATTCCACTTAAAATATTTTATAATTTACACTATGATTTCTTCAAGTCATAGCATGTTTAGAATACTTTGTTTAATCTGCAAGCACTGTGACTTTTTAAAAATATATTTTATTTAACTTTATTATTATTATTAGTTTTAATTTGGCCAGAGAAAGAGAGAGAGAGAAAAAGTGAGAAAGAAAGCTGCCAGGTCTGAGACTCAAACCATGGTCTGCCATGTGAGAGTCCAGTGTCTTTAATCACCACATCACCCGCCAGCCCCTAAGTACTGAGAAGCTTAAAAAACATATTTAATTTTTAAAAATTGTTAATTTCTAATTCAATCTTGTTCTAATAGAAAAAATACAAAGTGATTTCAATGCATGAAATTTTTCTTTAATGTCTTCACAGATTATCTCTCTTGGTGAATGTTCTATGTGCACTCGAAATAGATATAGGTTTTTATTGTTAGAAGTAGTGTTTTATGGGACCAGCAGTTAGCGTAAGGGCTATGTCGCTAGACTCCCATGTAGTCGACCACGGTTCGAGTCCCGGACCCGGTGGCTTAAACTCATGCCGGGCGCGTGTGTGTGCGTGCCCAAGATCCTGAGAGGAGAATGGAGGAGAAGGGATTGCGGCGTGACCATCCCCCCTGGGGGTGATTTCTTGCTTTCTGTCTCTCTGTCTCTCTGTCTCTCCCTGCCCTATAGCGAAAACCTATCCAACGTTCCCTCCCTGCCCTATAGCGAAAACCTATCCAAAAAAAAAAAAAAGAAGAAGTAGTGTTTTATGCAATACAATCAGGTTAAATTGGTTGATAATATCCAGAACTTCCTTTCCTTACAGATTTTCCTTTGTTTATACATTCTATCACCTAATGGAGAAAGAATAAAGTCTCAGTTACAGTTATGAATTTGTCTATTTCCATGCTAGTTTTGTTCATTTGTGCTTAATATATTTTGAAGACTTATTGTTACACACATATTCACTTAGCAATGTAATATCTTCTTAATGATTTGACCCTTTATCAGTACAAAAGATCCCTCTTGATCATTAGGAAATATTCTTTGTCTTGAAATCTTTTGTTTGATTATAAAATAGATGCATCGTATTTCTCATTTATATTGTTTACATATCTTTTTAATTCTGTTTCAACTAATCTGGGTCACTGTTTTTAAAGAATGTACTTTTTAAAAGTTCATTCTTTTATTTCTTTCATAATAGAACTAGACAAATAGAGGGAGAGAGAGAGAGAGAGAGAGAGAGAGAGTCAGTACTCCAAAAGGGTCTTCATGACACAATTCACCCTCAGTCCCAGCCAACCATGATCATGGGCATGTGCTAATGTGGGTGCCCAACATATAAATGGAGACCTTTGATTGTGAACCCAGGACCTTCTCATGTAACCTCAGTATTATGGAGTGTTTTGTTACCTCTCCAGTACCACAGTTGGCTGAAAGACTCCTTCTTGTAGACTTTCTTGGCATTTAATTTGGTCCTAATTTTTCAGTCTAACATTAAAAACAAATAGTATTATTATGGATATAGTCAGATTCAGGTAAATCATCATTTTTTTTTCGTGTTTTAAACTGTGCTTTTTTTTTTCTCTCTCTCTGTCTCTCTCTCTCTTTTTTCATGACCAACCGATGTCCGAGTCCTAGACCCAGGTGCTTGAAAATCATGTCAAATGTGTGTGCGGATATACCCAAGATTCTGGGAGGAGAATGGACGAGAAGGGATTGAAACATGGCTATCCCCCCTGGAGAGAGATGTCTTATTTTCCCTCTCGCTGTCTCTGTCTCTTTTCTTTCTCCAGTGAGTACACATGCCCTAAGGCAAAACTCTCTAAAAAAATAAGAAATGAGGAAAATATATTTGTATTTCACCCACATAGTTGTCATTTCCAGGTCTCTTTATCCTTTAAATAGCTAAGTTTCCATTTTGTATCAGCTCCTTTAAACCTGTAGAAATACATACATAACTAAACTGTAAGAAAGACCCAGTCTCGGCTGCCACCTGAGGGTAGTCCTGTAAGAGACCTTTATTTAGAAGTCTCACTTAAGCCACTCCCAGATATCACAGACTTTGTTGTGATGTATTATTGTTTTAAATGAAAATATTTGGGGTAATTTGTTACACAGAAATACATAATACACTTTTCTTATCTATTATTTTTGGATATATTTCCTCCCCTTTGTTTGCTGTTATAAATAATGCTGCATCTAGTAGCTTGGGGCTTATAACTTCAACTTCATAAATGAATTTCCATAAGTAGCATTGATGAATTAAAACATATGAGTAGGGATCAGTTTGGTAGTGCACATAATAAAAATTTGGAATTATACAGAGAAGACGAAAATGGTCTCTACATAATGATGACATACAAATACGTAATATGTTCCATTTTTTAAATTAAGGCTTAAACACAATTCATTGGAAGAAAGATAGCTTTTCAACAAATGACATTTTGTATCTTGATTTCAGTGATAGATACATGAATGTATAAATGTATATATGTAATTAAATAGGTACACATACACACAAATGAGCACAAGTAGAATGGGATATTTGAATGAGATCAGTGACTTTCATCAATGCCAATATCCTGATTGTTATATTATACCATAACGTCATCATAAGACGTTACCATTGAGGGAAACTAGGAAAAGGGTACAAGGTATCTCTCTTTATTAGAGAATTTTTTTCTTCTTCTTATTTTTTACATTAAGTCACTGTTTATTATTACATGGTACAAAATGAATTTTCCCACCATGAATACATTGTGTATCAATAGTTTAGTCAAAGATACTATTCTTTTCTGAGACCAGCAGATGGTGTAAGGGTTATGCTGCTGGACTCACACATAGTTGACAAAGGTTTGAGTCCCTGACCCAGCTGCTTAAAATGCATGCTGGGTGCATGTGTGTGTGTGTGCCCAAAATCCTGAGAGGAGAATGGAGAAGGGATTGAGACATGGCCATCCCACCCCCACCCCGGGGGAGGGTGATTTCTTGCTTTCTGTCTCTCTTTGTCTCTCCGGTGTGTGTATGTGCCTTATAGTAAAAAGAAGCTCTAAACAAAACAATACTATTTTTTTTTCAAGAGCATATACATTTATAATCATTCCAACCCAAGCTTCCATTTTTAAATTGGATGAGCACTTTTATAATCTTAAAATATATTGACAAATTTTACTCCACAAAGAGCATAACAACTGATTATTCTACTTACTGTATGAATGAGCTAGTTACTGAACATTCTCACTATGACAGCTTTATTGATTCTGAGCCCATGCCAACATGATAGGAAATTCTATGAAACCAACATTAAGCAAGAAAAAAAGAGAGTTGTTTTATACCGATAAAAAATTGGGGACTGGTCCTGTGGCCTAGTGGCTAATAAAGTTGGATCCCACAGGACTGACTGGGTGGTTTAAATTCCCACTCTGGTAGCTTGAAAAACATGCTAGGTACATGTGCATGTGTATGCATGCTAAATCTCAACAGGATGGATAAATGAAGGAGAAGGGATTGTGATGTGACCACTCTCGATTAGAGAGTGCTTTCTTCCTCTCCCTCTCTTTGTCTCTCTCTTTGATGAGCACACATGTCCTCTAGAAATTCTTTAAAAAACTGTACTTCACAGGAATATATAAGAGCTATGATTAGATTGGAAAACTGTGGCACATGTACACTATGGAATATTTCTTAGCCATAAGGAACCATGAGAATCTGTTATTTTATGCAAAGTGGATGAATATAGAAGATTTAATGCTAAGCAATGTAAGCCAGACTATGAAAGACAAACACTATATATCCCCACTAAATATATACTGGATATCTGCATTTTATGGCAGAAATCAGAAGATACAGTGGTAGGGAGGACAAGCATAGATACCAGAGACTGTAGGGGAGAAGGGTAGATAGCAGAGGGTGGGTGGGGGAACTCAGGAAAGAAATATTTAATAGAAACAAGAATGTAAAGTTCTCCAATGAAAATGATACATATGGTAATTAATATTCTTGATTTGATTTTCATGTACCGTATCCATATTCTGAAAAACCATATTGTGTGCTGTACAGATGTACAACAATTAAATGTGAATAAGAATTCATAAATAAAATAAAGTTTAAAAAGAATTACATATTTCTTACACATAATTAATTAATTCGTATTTCCTTATCAAACATAGCACAACAATACATCAAGTTAAAACCCATGAAAATATGTAATCTCCTTGCAGACATTAATGAATCAGACAGATAATAACGGTAGAGAAAATTTTAAAATATTACACTGAAGATTTATTCTATATCTAAATCTAAATGTACATATATCGATGTGTTCTATCTGTGTCAGCCAACTCAAATAGATGCTTTTGAAATACCCATAGGATATTAAAAATTAAGCATGCACACATGCGTGCTCATGCACATACACACACGGAACTATTTCAAGCCAAATTATCTAGCCAGAATATTGTAAAAGGAAAAGAAGAAAAGTTTAGGCATAAGCATCAATCCAATTAAAACTTAAAATACTTTTCTCTATATTCATGTATTACAGAAAGAATCAAAACTGAACTTGTGTAGCACTTATAAACACTAAATCTTGAAAATAAATTATTGAAATATTCAAAAGAAGAGGCTGGAAGATGAAGCAAAGGCCAGGTCACGGTGGTGCAGTAGCGACACAGTGGTGGTACAATGTTCTGCAATGCTGGAAGCCATATGGAAGGTCTAGTTCAGTTCCCAGGTCAGCATGTAGTATGCATGCTGAGTATGTATCTGTATGCCCATGATCCTGGTTAACTGAAAGGCTGATCAAGGGGACTGTGTTATGAGATTCTGTTGAGAGTACTTTGTCTTTCTCTGCTCTCTCTAGAAATAATTAAACTTTAAAAAGAAAGCAAACAATGTGTTTTTATTTTTTTTCCAGAAATTGTCACAAATTTCTCCCCTTCTGGCATCCGAGGCCTGAGGAGGATCCCTCTCACTTTGACTCTGGGCCCGGGCAAAGACCTTGCTGCAGGTAAAGAGACTATGGGACACCTGAGACGGCTGGAAGGGATTTGGAAAGCACATGCTGCCTCACTTTCTCAATGTGGCCACCATGTGAAGAAGCAAGGGTTAGACTGTTGTGTGATGAGAGGTGTGTGGCTCAATTACTCTTGTCACCCTGTCCAATAGCCTGCCAACTGCCAGTCATGTGACTAAGGCCATCATAGATCTCTCTGCCAACAGCCCATCCTCTAGCTGATCTCAGATGCATGAGTGGGCCTAGCATGACTAGCTGAAGCTGCCTGAACCATTCTGCTCACCCACAGACTCACGAACTAACTGAATAGTGGATATTATACGCAACTGAGCTTGGAGGCTTGTTACAGAGCAAAATCTGTGGAATGAAAACGTAAGGTTAAGAAGGAAAGGCAGTTGCCACACAAACTTACAAGTTGTACATTGCTCTCCATCATCTGTGCTAGTAAAAGAAAGTATTACCAGGCAAACTGTCTATAATGGATGATAGAATTGTAAGAAGATGTAGAGTCTGGCTGTAAGCTGGGACTATCCTTCAAGCCTGGACCTTCTTTATAAGCATTTCCTCTTCTCTCTGCCTGAGGCATAGCACGTACTCTGCTGGTGGCTTCTTTTTCTGTTTCCCACACCAGGTTATGAGCCACATCACCTCAAACCAGGAGAATCAACATGGTGATAAGAGCCCTTAAATTCTCACTCACTAGTTGGGGGCTGTGTTCCAAATGCAGAGGGTCCTTGGCTGAGTGACCACAGGTCAGATAATGGGAACAACCTGCACAATGAAGGTCAAGCTGAACTGAGTCGGCCCACAGATCTCAAGTCCAGACAGCACACACATAGTAGGTCTTCAATGCATAGGAATGGATGTGCACACATTGTAAATACCGTGCACACACAGGTGTGTTGATGCAAGGGTGCCTGGAATTATTCTGTGGTGGTTCTTCAGGTTTCTCTGAGCAGAGAAGCCAGAATCATTAGCAGACGGAGTTGTCAAGTTGGCTGGCTTAGTCTTGAGCCATCTGAACGGAAGTCAAGGATTTCTGCAGGGACCTGTTCTTCCACAGGTGTTCTTACAGCATCATAAACAAGATGGAAGGGACAAGCTACATCTGTCTGTTTGCAATAAAAAACAAAACAAAAAAAAAAAAACCCTTAAGAACAGACAAGATGGTACAGAGGCACCACATCTGTCGCAGTGGGACCAGAGGCCGCCAGCAGTTTTTATTTGGCTTTGTTTGTGCAGCTGGGAGGCAAGCTTGGTGGGAGGCAGAGGCGTTTGCCTTCTCAGTGCCAGCAGCACCAGGGCAATTAGAGCTGTGTCTGGCCTGCAAGATCGGGAACTATACTGTCCCTTTCTTAGGAGCCTGGTGACCTCTCCCTGGCCTGAAATAATCACTCAGCCTTTGCACTGCCTACGGGGCAACTTCACCTCTGCCTTCATGTCAGTGCATATGTTTAAGAGATTGGTAAAGGCCCCAGGAATCCAGAAAGCTGGTGATATAGGCAAAACTCAAACTAAAATTCATTTTATTTTATTTTTTTCCAACAGTGATGGTTAAAAGGTATGTTGTAATTAAAATGCCTTTATTCTTGATTTTTTGATTTAGTCATTCTGGATAAGTTCACTAAAGCATTTTCTTCTTTGGTTGAGGACCCTCTATTTTGTATTCCCCTCTGCCAGCTGGGTCTGACAGCCTGCATGGCCCAGAGCTTTGCACATGGCATGTCCCAGCAGTCAGGATCTCATGTGACCCATCTTTATGTTCCCAGTCCCAGAAGATGTCTGGCACATTGTAGTCCTCATTGTTCATTCACAGTAACTTGCTAGCTGGTAAATCCAATTCTAGGTAATTTCCAGAGATTCTTCAATGTGGTCATCTTACTATCCTAGGTCTTCAGATTCCTTAAGGACTTGCATTGGTATATCTCTGTGACATGGGAAGTTGGGGAGAAGTACCAAAGAGTGGTTGACATAGTCAGCATTCGCCACTTTTTAAGTTTTTGAGTCCTGTATTGACATGGAGTTGCAAAGTTTAGAAATCACAATGTGGGGCCTGCAGGTGGTGTGGTGGTTAAGGTGCTGGACTCCCACATGAACAACCACTGTTCGAATCCTAGATCTGGAGGCTGGCTTTCTCACTTTCCCTCTCTCTTTTTCTTGCTCTCTCCCTCTCTGGTCAAATTAAAATAAATAGCTAAATAAATACAGTTAAATAAAATAATGAATATTTCAAGAAAAAGAAATCAGAATGTGAAGTTGTCTAAACAAGTAAACTAACAAGTTGGGGTTTCATTCTGTGGATGCACTGCCTTGTAGGACATCTTCCCTTTCCAAGCCTTGTTCTTTTATGTCCTAACTTGGTTATCACACCTG